GGACGCACTGACAGGTTCAGGTGGCCCTTGATTACCAGACCATTTGGCTCTTGTCTCACTGACAGTTCAGGCAGTTCAATCCATATCGACTTTTGATATTCTCCTTATCGTGATCTAGTCTTTTATCATTTCCATCAACTCCACCAACTTCCAACGAGCACCATGCAAAAAATCAAGTCAACACCCAAGGCTGAAGAACATGAACTAGAAGCTCGGCACTGGAACGAACTAGAAGCTCCGCACTGGAACGAACTAGAAGCTCCGCACTGGAACAAACTAGAAGCTCCGCACTGGAACCACGCCCAGGATCAATTTATCGTATGCTTTGATTGTTCACAAGCTTGCTGGGAAGAAGTCTGACTCCAGATTCAAGTCGGTGATGACCAATTACAAACTAGCCTTCAAATGAAATCTAAAGCAATCTCAGATTAAGAAAAACTTTCAAACTGTGAGTTATATCGTTCTGTTTCTATCTACTTTCTTTTTTATTTCCTTTCGTTTTGATCCTTGCTGACCAGTGCTTGCTTGGGTGTTATGTAGTTAAAGATTACATAGTTGAAGAAGGCATACATCATCTTTCACAAGTTAATGAAGAACTTTCACCAGAACAACGATTCACGCTAGCTATCATTCGAGAAACAACATATGCTTCATTGACCGATATACTTTATTCAACCCCGACGAATCATAAGAAACCCGAATCTGAAGATAGTACAGATGGAGAATCATCTAAATCATATTTCGCTGCACTTTGTTTAGCTTTATTGGAATCGGATGTTTCAATCAATCGAATTGATACAGAAGAAGAAACAGTTGAAGTAGTTAAACTTGATTCTTCTCAACATTTCACAAGTTTCAAATTAAATATTGTCCAAATCAATCAAAACGATTAATGTTTGAACTTATCAGAATGGGTAGTCCGACCCAACATTTAATGAATGAAGATACAAGAATCACAATCATTAAGGCTTCTCATGATTCTCCTAATCAAAATGAATTAACTAAAATTGAGCAATTAAAACTTGAATTGGAGTTAAGTACTTATCCAATTGAACCTGAATCAGATGTTAGAATTGCTTCTAATGTCATCAATACTCTTGGATTGAAAATCAGTCAAATTGAAGCTTTTAGAAAACGTGAAGCTCAATTATTCGAAATCCTTGTGCCTACTTTGGCTAATCGAAATCATTCATGAAGAATTCGAAAGTTGGGATTCAATGGTTTGTTTGTTTTTTTAAGGATTTAGGGGGAAAGGGTAAAAGGAGGAAAAACACGCTGGTTGGGTTCATTGAATTCATATGTCTCTTGGATTTGGGTCTTTTTTGATTCATGACTTTTTTCCTTTATTCTTCTCTTTTAAATATGCTTAGTATATAAACAAGAATTGGTGTTTAAACAGATGCTTAATTTTTCTTTATGTTCTACCTTATATATACCGACAAACACACGATCCTCTTCATCTTTCCGCTTCTGCATCCTACTCTTTCTTTGTAGTTCATCAGAAACCTGCGATTTGTCTATGACTTGTTTTTTGA